CCCTGCGATTGGCTGGCAACCGGTTCAGGGTGTCCCCTGCCTACTGTCCGAAGACGGCTGGGATAGGCTCCGGCAACCCCCGGGACCCTTGTGAGGATAAAGCGGATCAGAAAATGGATGGATGTGGGGACGTCTATAATGCGACCCAAACCAATGTTATTTCCCTTCCCGTGCAGTATGTGGTCTCGCATCAAAAAGATCCTTGCATGACAAATTGTCAATAAAAGATCTTTCAGAATCGGGCCAATGCAACAACGTGGCACATGCAGTACTATGCTGTTGGGATGCTCACATCCAGAGAGGTGACCAAACACTTGTTCTCCTTACCTTGGTGGTGTCATCATGGGAGCGCTGATAGCGTTTCCAGCGGCAACCGTAGATCCCGGTGATGCAAGACAAACACAGCTGGCGCTCATAGACTTGGAGGGGTTGGTGTTTGACCATGCTCCTTCTGTCAGTCCTGCTTCCACAAGTCAAACATCTCACAGACCGGATGGACGCTGCAACATAATATTAGGAAAACGTATCACAAATGCTACATTCAAAGATCTCAAGCCTCATATGTTTTGGATTTCAATTCCTAAAAAGTAAGGCCGGCTTTCTGGTACCGGCGGTCGATAGTCGCAGGTAACCGCAATGTGTCTCCATCCGCCAATAAAAAAGAAAAACAAATTCATATGCGTCACTGGACAGCGACAATACGTCAAAGGATCCTCCAAAAAAGTCTTCCGTTCTGTAATGTACTGCTGTGTGCGTGTGGAAACTTTGTTTGAAGACAAATTTCCACTATTGACAGAGAAAGCTTCGAGTTTGGAAAATTGAGTTGTCATTCTCTTTCAACTATCAGATGACTGTTGTAAGCCCAATGAATTAAAGACGGGCCAGAAATTTACGATACAAGTGACAACACTTTTGGGGCTTGTTCAAGATGCCGTTTCGACACTCCCGCTCACCGATAGCCTGTCTGACGTTGCTCACCATGGTCCAAGGAATGCTCAGGGTGTTTGTGCGAATGCTCAGATGGATGGCAAATTCGAGAGAACATTGGTCCCAGTGACAGCAAGTGTGATGAGTTTATCAGGAAAATGGTGCATCACATTTCTGTCCAAGCAGCTCAATATAATATGGCTAAAGTAGCACGATGTTTCATGATGACGGTTTTTCCACCGTTTCCCGCTGTAAATTTCAAAGTCTTGATTGTACGAAATACAGTTAATTAAACAAAAGTGTGGAGTCAAAGACAAGTACAGTAGTTCAAATGGACAAAACTAAAGGATGAGCTCCTCAAAGAAAGAATGCTGACTCAGCACTCTCTGTTGAGTGGAGAGGACTATCGCTTGCAACAGGAAATAGAGCTACACCGTGTCCAGTTTCCTGTACAAAGGAGACCAGAAATCAATACCTCGACAAATTATTGTGAAGCACCTTCCATACTTCTCTCTCTCTCTTTGGAGACTTAATGCATGCTGCAAATTATCTTCACGGGTTGAGTTGACAGGATCTGACTTTGTGCGTGCGTGTGTGCGTGTGTGTTGTGCACGTGTGCGTTTTGCAGCTTTCTACTTGTCCACAGTGCACATGTGGGCATAAACAAATTCTCCACATAAGCGTTGAAGTGCATTTCGAGTGTGGACACTGAACACGAGGCTTCATGCTGTGAGACTGCTGCAACCACGCAACTCCTGCATCCAAATGGAGAGATGAGCCAAAGGAAAAAGTCAGGCCAAATGCCTTCGCGACATTGATATTTATGATGGCATGCGAGCGGGCAAAAATGGCCTCATGCAGCATTTCCTGCATTAATATATACAGCGGTATATGATCATATGAACTGTCTCAAAACTTGCTGAGACAAAAGCAACTTTTAAAAGAAAATAATAAAGATTTTATATTCATTTTTAAATGAATTTGACATGGCTGACTGATTAGTGCGCAGACTCGATGTGGCGGCAGACTGTATTGTGATTCAACAAAAGCCTTTGCAGGATGAAGGTCATTGAATGACAGCGGCGAGGACACTTTCACTCGGAAGGTAATTACCAAAAGGTCCCTGAGGATGGAGAGCACGCACTTATGGATTCCAACCTACAACAGATTGCAAAATTCAGCATTTGTGCGGGTGTTTTTTGAACTCTTTCCCCCTCCTGCACAACATCATTCGCTGCTGAATGTGGGGAAGTGGGCCTCACAATGCCGCGGGGTTCGATTCCGGCTCCGGCCTCCCTGTGTGTGTGGAGTTTGCATGTTCTCCTCGTGCCTGCGTGGGTTTTCTCCGGGTACTCCGGTTTCCTCCCACATTCCAAAAACATGTGTTGCAGGCTGATTGACCACTCAAAATTGTCCTCAGGTGTGAGGGTGAGTGTGGATGTTTTTTTTTTTTATCTCTGTGTGCCCTGCGATTGGCTGGCAACCGGTTCAGGGTGTCCCCTGCCTACTGTCCG